CTTTGCACGGGAAGTCCTTCACAGGCATGGGATATGTCTACTTGGGGACGGATATAGACAGCAATGGCTGCTCAATATGCAGCTTATGCCCATTATGATTATTACGCAGCTTCCATCCTACTGTGCAGCACATCAATCCACGTTACACCAATTTGCTTACTTTTCAAGGACGCCGCAGTAAAAAGTAGTGTTTGTGGTCTTCAAGCTCAACACATGAATCAAAGCTTGAAACAGTACGGATTATGACTTGACGACAAAGAATTTCTCCTCTATGTTCACGATTTGGTTGGATTCTTCAGACTTCCTTCATTTAAATCATCGTCATTCACTATGCTAGCGAGGTCCAGACGAGTTTTTGAATATAAGTACTGATCAATGGTTGAAGAGATCTTATATTTACCATGTACTGCTCTCAGTTCATCATCCGGGATTTGGTTTGACCTCCGTATTCTTGACTGTGAAGCTTTCATTCTCTGTTGAAGCAATCGATGAGGTCTGACAATATAGGAAAGGTAATAGACAGCCAAACTTCTTATATAAATAGACGAAAAGTTTCAGTACTGGAAACCATGTCGACCTTGTTCACATCTGCAAAGTTTGATATGATCACTTTCAGGATTCCTCATCATGCTGAGCTATCAGTACCTTGCTTGTGAACTGCCATGCAGACATGTCAAATCTTTAATTTGTGCCAGGATTGTTGACGTCGAATTTCCAAATCTTTGAGCGCATATTACGTGCATGAAGCTATTTAAGACTTTTCACTCGGTCATTAAAACATAATCGGCTGAGAGGAAAGTTTTAATTCTCGGAATCGTGTACATCATAACCCGCATACGTTGGGTACCGAGCGTAACTGGCAGGGTAGAGAATATGGCATGCAGTTGCAAAATAAAATTAGTGTAAATTCCTTCTTCATTGTTTCAAATCAAGTCTTTAATAAATAGACAAATAGATCGCAAACCAGGAAGGATGGGAGCCTTTGCGTTTGAAGATATAATTTTCTTGATTGATCGCTCCTTAAATCTAGAGCTTGGACCGGGAACAACCAAGCATTAGAACATAATTGCTGTACCTAAAAGGTCGATAGCATTCGCATGACTATGAAATAGTCTCTAGACCACAAATCACTCTAAACCCTTGACTGTCAAAGGGTACATGACAACCGGAGTAATCGATTTTGGAACCACCGTTGTCAGTACGCTCTGAATATGATGACGTGAATCGATCCACCTTTGTAAAATTAGTAAGCTCACTTGTTTGCCAGAGATATAGCCTGGCTGCACCTGGAGCATTACAAGTAACGGCTTGGGATCCTTTTTAAAAGTGTAGACTTTTAGGCAACATTAACTTGTGTTCTGCTCCAACTATTGATTTTATGAAACGTGATATACTCTACGAGCTTACGCATTAAAACCCCATCCCTTTCTTTGAGAAATTTGGGTGTTAGAGTGTAGGAGTGAAAAACTGAAGAGTTGTAGAGGACATGTTAGCAGAGTTTCAAGTTCCTGTTTCAAGCTATAGCAACTGACTGGATCGAGGACTAGACTCTAAAACCAGTAGTCTGCGAGAAAGACTGATTCTGGTTACAAAACAGTAGCAGAGTAGTTTTAAACGACACAAAGTTTCACATAACATCTATTTTTTTATATACTATTGCATTGTCACCCAACTACTGTCAGTTGGTTACTTCGCAAGTCTCAGGAGATCATATGAATGAATGGTATCATAGGTCCACGGAGACCCATTAGCTCAGAGCACGCACCAGGGTGCATGATACCAACTGACGAGGAAACCATTACCATTTAACTTTACATATGACCTTATCGGGACCAGATTTCTACATGGATCTACAAGGAACACGTGGAAGACAATGCTGAAGACAAGTTTCTCAAGCAAAAGCAGTCGCTGTGTCAACAATCATTGAATTTTGTTTCATACGGAAAAGTAGTAATATCTTTCTCTTAGAATTCTGACAATTTCTAGCTGAGCCACCCGCGACTATCGAATCTATCTGTTAAGCTCGAGGTTATCAGGTGAGACAGTTATAAGACGACGGGCAAAACTACTACGTCTATGAATTTGAGAACATTCAGGTCCAGTTTAGAAATAAATGTACCAACTCCAGGTACCATGTATCGATACCATGTAGACTAGGCAACCAAGTTCCAACAGTTCCTAACCTGCGGGAGTTTATGAAAGCCCGAATGACACTTTAGTTGATACATGGCATCTTGTGAATGGATTGTTGGAGTAGTTCGTTTGACTCAGTCCTTACACCTTATTCCACAGATGGTCTGATAGATTACTGGATTACATGTTAGACGTAGGATATCTGCTCTGTCACCGGTACTTCGAGAGTAAAAATACTAAAGATACTACCATTGCCTTCACTAGAGCTGTTCGCTCACAAAACGAGGAACTGGCACCTAGCTGACTGTGACTTAATCTCTCGTTCTCATAGCGATGGTGTCACCTACTACTGAGCCAATCGTCGTAAACGAAAACTTTATTTGCAATAGGTCCAAGCATTCGGTCAGACTGCACATATCATGTCAGGTTCCTATATACTGTACCGGACAAATGCACTAGTCAACAAACTACATGATACTCATTTTCTTCTGGTGCTGGACGATATCGCGACCCTCTTTCGGCGGAAAAGAATGATACCAGATTATATGCTGTTAGGTACATTAAACTGTACGTTCGGTTACCAAAAATATGTTCTGTTTTTTAAAGCTAGACATACCACGCGTTCATATATCATCCATTAGTCGTCTAAACTAAAGCTTAATTCTACCTTAAGAATCTGAAATGTTATTCTTACGTCCATTTTTTCGTTCTCCTCTATAACTTGATTCATTTCTTATTTGACGATTATTAGATCCATTCTACGGTAACATTTAGAAATTCACCGCCAACACTTGAGCCTGCATTTTAGTGCCATATCAACAATCTCTACAGCTGACAATAAACATTTGACTCGTGAAGGGAACATGAGAATAAAGAGAGCGAGACTGTTAAAGTTACCGTCGTTTCTCATTCTATGGTTTATATTAGCTGGAGAATATTCTCCAGAGCATGGTACCCGAGGAGGTTAAAGACATGCCTGGACCGGTAGAAGCCCATTTGCTTTTCCTGTCGTACGAGGGAACTATGACGTCATATATCTTTGAATACCTGCCCAGGAGGGAGCATCACACAAGTAACTAACTGTTGAACAAGACCTCGACAAAATTCTGATGGAATGTGTGATACAGTTGGCGTCACCCAAGCCAGATGGAAAACATGTTCGTCGAGCATCTAGGCTAGTTCCAACTATTCCTTACACTCTCGGAACTGCTTTGTATGTTCTGTCCTTCAGGAGAGAACAACCGACAAACTGTTTTCGCAATCAATTACTAACTACGAGCTGTAGGACTGAGCAGGGGTTTTTCCACAAGAGTCGTGACATGATTTTTTAGCTGATTTACTATGATGGTGTACTTTATACCTCTGGAATCGTCTTCCACAATTTCCTGCCCCGGATAAACGTAGACCAAGCAGTTATTCACTCTTAATCATCGAGGACTGACAAGATCCCTGTCGTAGTAGCAATCAGAATCATGGAAACTCGTCACTGAGATATTTACTCTTCTCTGTTTTATTTAACCTACCAGGGAATCGTTCAGGGAGCGGTGGAAAGAATTTCAAACATGTCTATTTTGGCCAAGAAAAGGGCTCAGTATTCACCATGATTGTAGGTCTTGTTTTATACAGACGGGGAATCCAGAATTCCCTACTTGGTACAAGAAATGAGAAAGACCCATAATTGGCACTGCAAATGCGCAGAGTCATAATATTCATGAAATTCTGGTGCTTAATTATGAACATCGTCTGACTTGTGCCAACTCTTGTAAGTTTGAATCACATACGCAATTAGTGCCTCAGCTCTTCTCATGACTACTGCTAGACTTTGAACCATCAGATTTTCAGCTTTTCGATTATCAATTTTCTTGCGGTGCAGTCCAGCTGCCAAGTGAAGGTCATGTTTAGAACCATCCAAGTTTGTGTTGCAGTACACTGGTACATGTGACGTTCTCGAACTTTTCTGCCAGCAAACTTACGACAGATGATCACATTCATACGCACATGATGATGAGCTTTGCCAAGTGTGTATGATGGCAACTCTCCGGGTTCTAGGTACAACAGGTACATCCGCACTTCCAGACAAGACATGATATTGACGGAGAAGCATGGGGTTCGACAACTTGAACATAAAGCAAAAAATTGGATCGGACGTGGGGATCCAAGTTGACGCCCACAATCTTTTGTTTGAGCAACCCATCACCTTCACCTGTTCCGACCTTTACTTCTCCTGGAAACGCCACTGTCTTATCTGGATCAAACCCACCGTGCAAAAGACGATCATCAACAGGTCGGTGACTCAAAAAGGTGAAAGTGGGTCACATGAGACCATCGGTAAGCCCTGACTAGTTAGGACGTATGCTTGAATCATTATGATGTTCAGTATGATGTTCTGAACGTAAACAGGGCTGTGTACCTCCCGTGCAACGCACTTGGCGGCTCCTGAAATACCTGCACTTTCCATGTGCGACCTTGTGCAAGACAGTCGGGTCATGCAACATACTCTTATTCAGACCTTGTCCCTGCGTTGTCCATGTTACTGCCCATGCTGCAGTGTGATGATATTGCACACACGATCAAGAAACCGACACGCACGAGTAGGTATTCATCTGTAAAGGAGAATGATGGTACCAGATTCTCGCCTACATCTTACTCTTCAGTCTCGAGTCCTCAGAGAAGACATCTAAACTTCCATTGCGCGTGGGTTAGTTGGAGTAACGTGTCTGATGAAAAATCTGAAATCCATAGCTGAATAGTCTCGAACGTATGGACTCAAACCAATTTAGTACACTGTCCGCTAATTGTTCAAAATGTCCTTCGTAGCTCAACTTTAGACATGGGTGCCTCCCACAAATGACGAAATAGTTCTTCACACCGATATACACGTCAAAATGACGTCTGTGATAATCGATAAATGGTCTTCCAACTGCGAATCAGTATGAAAAAAGCGTACATACAGTATAGACCAATTCTGCTTGACCGAAAACAATGATGACACGGGATGCTCAACAGAGGCGAAGTTTCCGAATTATGCTGAGGCTAAGTGACTATATTCGAAGGTTAAGCATAACGACGGTACAAAATCTGTCCTTCAAAGTATCAAAGGACAAGATGTATTCTAAACGCTGGACTCCTTATTGTTCTACAAATTACATGAATATACATAAACTAAGTTCAAGAGTAGAGCACTTCACCGTAGTTCAAAATTGAAGAACAGTCAGTACACACGACCCTCTTCTAACGGCATTCATTCACCTTGAGGAAGTGTTGTGAATTAGAGCCACTCCCTCAGGAGTCCACCAGTGTCGCCTCCCTTCTAATCTTTGCATGGTCAGATGCACTTTCGCTTGAGTACGAATTTCTTCTAGAATCTCTCTTTGAGTCCTTCGGAGATCTTTCCATATAGCAAAGCTTAATAGATCGAGTCCTGCCTGAGACTCCTCTAGAAACAAATCCTCCACATCCACCCACTGCGGAAAATATAAGACCTCCAGATCCTTCTGACCATCGACCTCCCGAACGGCCTCGAGCACATCGGTCAAGCATCTCATGTGCGGTCCCTCAGGAAGACCCAAAGCTCTGTGGAGTGCAGCATGTCCGGATGCAGAATCCATCAGGACGACGACAGCTCCCGAATCAGGAGGAAGGAAGTTTTCCATCGCTGTGGCGACACTGTCCATGGGCAAATAGTACAAGGAATGGATGAAAAGAACGAGATCATATTGGGAGTCAGAGGTGCAGATGAAGTTCTCGAAAGTGGTCTTGTGAAGGTGGACGCCGGGTACAGGATCCTCCTCCAGTCTCTCTGCGAACATGTTGTAGAGTTCCTCCGACGGCTCAATGGCGTCGTAATGGATGAGGCTCGTGCAGGGTAGGAATATTTCATGCAACAGAAGGAAATCATACTCGCCACTCCCTGCGCCAACGCTCAAGATGCGGAGAGGCTGAGATGCAGGCGGCAGAATGGGCAACAGCTTGCTCTTCAGAGTTGCTATGAAATCCAGTCGATTATCATTTCTCAGTGAGTGCTTGAAAGTTGTGAATGCTGATTTGTAATAGGAGTCAGAGATACTCGGAAGCTCGTTTATGCTGAGCACACCCATTATGAGCTAGTAGATCTTGGACGTGTGGATGGCTCACGAGATCAGACTGGTGGAAGATCAGCCCCGAGGTGCAACCCGAGGTTGTTGACGATGGAAGACGAGACAAGCGCTGAAAGGAGGCTCTTCGACCGAACTCGATCTGGTTAGCTGAACAACAACGAACTGCGATGAGAACAACAACAGAGTCAAGATATTTAAGCAGTTGCGCAACACGTAGCTTGACGGCGCCGGTGAAGTGGAAGCTGGCCGGTAATACCGAGTTCAGAGTAAAGCATCAGACCCTGAGAAGGCAAAAGACGATGAGCACGTCCCAGAAAAGGCTCTTAAGGGTGATAAGAGAGTTGAGAAATCGAAGACGGTTGAGCACTGACGGTGACACAGATTCTGGAGTAAGTGCCGAAAGCAGCAGAATTTGAAAAAGTCAGTACCAAAGTACGTATTGTAAGAAGGTGGACCAGGGAAATGCCTCGTACGAACCACCAGATCTAAAATCGTTGTTTGTAAGGCTGTATGAGAAGCATGAAGATCCAATGATTGCTCGACCACAACCATGTGGCGCTAGCTAGCTACTGCAGGCTCTTCTCCTCAGAGCGAGTGCTGTAACCTCAAAACCCACGTTTCTACTCTCGATGACCTGTCAGAGTCGCAAAACGCAGAATTTTAAATCGCATAATATCAGTGTTACGGTGCTCGCGCTGGCCAAAACTCGGTTTAATCGGCGCAGTTAATTGTGTCATTTTTGACGGCAAACGACTAGAATGTCTCAGCTCAGACGAGGGACTAGAGTGACTAATGCAGCTGGTCGCCTGTCGCAGTATGCAGCTGCAACATGCACCTTGAGTGGGCCCCCGACCTTGCAATCGGCGAATGATCATGAGGCCTAGCCGGAGTTCCTGAGTAGCTAGAAGAAACGTAGCGAAAGCGGTGTGTGGGCCACTGGCCATGGCGAGAAGCGCCAGAAGCATTTTGTTGGCACGCGTCTGGAGTTTGTCTTCATCGATTATCTGAAGTAAAAATTTGAGAGCTCCCGTGTCAGGGAGCCCTGTAGCAGTACCGTCTTCACGCTCTGGGATAAAGTACCAGACTAAATTTGATGTTTACAGACGTGGCAGATTTTGGTATTAACCTCTCCATAAGTGCTTCTTGAGCCTTGACCCGATTCTTCCGATAGCCCACACATTTGTGTAGGAGTCCATTTCGGAGTGGGTCACAATTGACCACCTGCTTGCTAGACGCGAATTTGTCCTGCCTTAGCTGGTTCTTGTCCAACACTCGAGAGTTAAGTGCGGGTGCCACCCACGCTTCTTGCTTGCTTACACTCGGACATCGACCTTCGAACATTTGCGTGGGAATACTCAGTACACTCGACTCCGTCCACCTCTCAAAGTGAGCTTGAAAGTGGCCACTACATTTATGCTAATGTGGCCCACGCTCGCCTGAATCTAGCCCCCTTTAAACATGAGGCGTGACATCCCGGTTTTGCTGTTGGTTTCCGCATTGAATTTTTTGAAGCATCGATCGGTACAGACGACCGGTAATTACTTGTTCATTTTCGTAATCACTGGGAAAATATTTATTAAAAGATTTTATCAATATTAAAACTGTGACGTCAAGGTTGGGCAGTTGCTGATCGCTACATGATCCATGCTCGAAAGCACGTCCTTTATAGTACATTTACCTCCCAGAATGTCCAGTTTGCAGTTGAGAACCATCAGCGCCTTCTCCCATTCTCAAAAGCCATTGACAATCCCGGAAGGGGAATCTATTTTCTGGATTTTTAAATCTATTTTTATATTTTTTAAAAAAAATTTAAGCAATAAAAAAACTTGAAATTGTAGAGAAAACCTCAGAAGTAGTAACAAAATTTCCCAAGTAAAATACCAGGTTCAATATAAACAATTTGAATATAAATTTAATTTATTTTTATTTAAAAATCACCTGAAGTCTCCAATATAAAAATTGAAATTTAAATAAAAATATTTGGATATCAATTTGAATCTATCATGTTAATAATGCTTTACTTTTTGGAATTAAAAACTTACTCCAAATAATATTACGTAGTATTAGCAATTTGTAAGTCATGATAATATCGTATACTACCAGTTGAATTTCATTCAGTTAAGTATTTTCCCTTATGTTGGAAAAGTAAAAGCAGTCATCAGAACTATGACATTTTAAACTCACAGATAATATGTAGTTTAGTGAATTACAGGGAAAAGGATATCCTGGAAAAATCATGACTATACATCGCGACTATATATACGAGACTTGTACCAAACAATTAACATCGGATTTTGCACTGTAATCATTTTAATGGATAATATGTACTATTGCATATATTTTATCTTAATTTTAAATTACTTTATGCCTATCACAAGGCTTTTTGTATCTTCATTGCAATCAATATACATATTTTAAAAAAATTATTCAGTACTAAATATTTATATCAGAAATTGTGTGATGTAACTATTTTAACCTATCATTTAGTTTCACGATTTTATCCATTTATGCTACTTGAAAAAAACTTTTTTGCTATTCACTAATCTCCTCATTTATCATGGTACAATAACATTGAAAGCTCTATGAGCTTTATAGCCCATTCTCACACAAGATAACATTCTGAATATAAAATGTAACGCAGTCATGTTTTTATTGTGGATAACATGTCTTTGTCACATCAATTTTCATGTGAAACAATCATACCAACCTTGTGCAAATATAATTGGAATAAAGTAAAATTTAAGATAATTGATAAAAATAAATTAAAAAATATTGAAAGGAAGAGGGGAAAAAAATTTAAAAATTTTTTACTTCATATTTAAAAAATATTGCATATTTTTCAGAAATATTGATAAGTAAATTGATATTTATAAGCTTTTTAGAAATGCATAACGTCATGATACAAACTTACATTCACTCCAACTATGAGAGATTTAAATAGTAACTTTTTCCAAATTTTGCTATTCAATTTTCTAATTTCTGGGTTTCCTGGATCATATACTCAATCAATATAATAAATCAGAAACTTGAAAATTTATTTTGGTAGCTTTTTTCAATTATTATTTGATGAAACATGTTTTTAATGCCACAAGCTATAATTTATAAAAAATATAACATAGCAGAAATTCATGATGTTGAGTTCTCTAAATTCTTATTTCTTTTAAACGAAGCCAAAATTTCCATCATCTGGATAGAATTTTGAGCTAATATTTTACAATTTTTTTCAATTTTTTATTTTTCATAAAAAATTACACTTTTGTGAAATTTCTGGTAGCTCTGTAGCTTCTCTTAACGTTCTATTTCATAAAGATATGATAACCCATTACCTAATGACCTGTACATTGAATAATCTGATGTAGTATTTGTAGTATAATATTCAATATTTTGAAATTTTTAAGTCGATTCAAGATTCTTCAATTTTTTTTGCTAGAATGAAATAATGTTCTCATCCAAATAGGTGAATCTTTTATTTTTATTTGAAAATATAAATAGAAAGTATGCAGAAGATCTTGAAAATTTCCCAAATTAACTTTATTTGTGTGTTGTTAAATAGAAAATATATGATCAAATTTTTTTCAAAAACATCTATTATCTATTATGATTTAATGATTCAACAAATTCAAAGTAAATAAATTCATCTTTTACTTACATTTACTGTAGATAATAAAATAATACTTGTAAATGATAGTTTCTTCTTACATTATCAAAACTTATTTTGACTTTTATTGCGGACTGGAAATTTCCTCTATATATTATAGCAGGAGTTAACTTTATTGAGACTTATATTCACGACTAGATCAATTAGAGAAATATGATATTAACAACCAATTTTTCATATATTGAATTTCCATTTATTATCATGCAGTCAAAAATTTATAAAGAAAAATACAGATATCTAACCTGAACGTTGACTTGGGACCAGGGCTTACTGAAAAGATTGTAAGAACTTATTCGCTCATTCGTCAATTTGTCATTATAAAATTACCCAATAACTGGTATTGAGTTTTTAATCGATATCTAGATTTCTAAATTTTATATTTAAGAATAATAAATTACACATAATAATTTTTTAATAATATTGAGAGTGATCATTTTGTAAAATTAAAAATAAATATGATTATTAATATAATATTAAAAATAAATATTGTATAAAGGGATTTTTTTAATACAGATTCAATTTGAAACGTACTCTGACACTATGCTTATATTTTGTATTTTATAATTTATATTAATATCGAGCTCTTTTAATGATAATAACCATCCAATATTCTCTATATACAATAAATTTATATATTTCATATGTTCTATTTTTTTAAATTATTATTCAAATGATTTTTGTTAATTATTAGTAATAATTCTGCAGAAAAACTTGTTCATGCATTAAGAAATGTATGAAAAAAGAATCATCACTATTCAGACGTTATGAGTATTCTTATAAGTTATTAATCAATTTTTTTAATTCAAAAATAATAATCTTTACAGCTACAATTGATATACAGTTTTGTAAAATAACAAACAATAATGATTCCAATGAAGTATTTTGAATGTCTTTGATATTCAAAATTTTGACATAAAATATAATTAATCTATGATGCCAAACTTGTTTTATTTATAAGTTTATAGTTTAAATACAAAGATCTTTGGTTTTTATAATATATCTCGACATAGAAAAGAGATCACATGTTTCAGACAATGAATAATAATTCAATACGAATCATCCATACTTTTCTTATAATTGTTGCAACCAATGGACAACGTTTTCTTGAATTTTCCATATCTATATTGAGGGACTCAAACCAATTAATTTTATGTATTACTTGTGATTTCTATTTTATAGCATTGCAACTCAAAATACTACACTACCTTCTTACAGATAAAACCAACTCCCATACCGAGGTCTTTAGTCAGGTTAGCCTTGGGAAAAGAACCAGGTATACTCTTGTTTCTAGCAAAAGAAAAACAGGAAGTAAATTTGTAAATAAGTAGTCGCATGATTTGAAAATTACTAAGAAATAACGATATCTGCTGGGCTTGTAAAAAAATCAAAGAGTACTGTGCACCATCAACAACAGTAGTTCGCTGTCAGGTATTCAACTCATGATTGAAAATAGACCCTCAGTGATGTAATCCTGTCAGGTATCTGATACATTAGCACTTATCAACCGAATGCATGTCCACATATTGTGTAATCTCGTGAGTGTTGCAGAAAGTAACCTCTAATCATCCACATTAGTATAGTAGCTGTAGGTTAGACCGTTTACAAATTCCACCAATAGGCTGTTTTCCTAGACATGAATACATTTCAGAAACCTACGAATGTGAAATAAAATATCTTACGGAAATGTCTTAATTTTCCATTATATCTTACAAGATTTCAAAGATTCTGAAAAACATTCCCTTGAATTCGATTTTTTCATCCCAACGTCTGCATTCAGATCTGAAATTCTACATCGGATTCCAGAATGCAAAAAGGAATAACTCTTCACAAATTCTAAGTCAGTTTTAATCCACAAGCTTTTTGTCCAAATTACTGGATTTTCATTGTAATCCCAAATCTGTTTCAACTCCGCGACTTGGTAGTGCCGTGCCCGGTGATGGGTGCTGGGGAACAGATCGCTACA